AGTACGTTATCTTTGTGGCAATAAGCCCTGGCCCTTCTCTAGTTTTTAGAATGGATGCTTTCAGGGAGATGCGACAGGTACCATTTAAAATCCAAAATGGGTACAGTTCCTTGACCAATGAGAAGAGGCCCCTACTGACTACCAAGAGGAGGCTAATAAGGCAGTCCGCCCTTCAGAAGGTCCAGTGGATTTCAGGTTAACTGGGGAAGCCAAGTCTCTAAGCCAGAAGGCATCCTGGCTCTCCAACCAATGTGAAAGCACCCTATGTCACTGTATCTAGGACATCCATCACCCAGCGTATAGCAGATCCTAATCTCAGAGATATTAAAATGTGAAAAAAATGTGTAGCAACAGCATGTGCCAGCTAAAAAGCTCAGGGACTGTCAGGTCACCACCTCCGAATTCATATCCCAGCGGCTTTGGGGAACTCTCATTCTTCCTTCTGCACTCTCCTACTGTCCCTTCAAGCTCTACAAGGAAGTGAACCCCGCTCTTTGAAAAGCTTCCTTGAGCAGTGGCAGCTCTGCTAGCCCATTCTGAATGCTCCTTGGTGCCTGACAAGAACTGTACATGCGCTGGAACTATTATGTCTCTCGCATGCTGCAAGGCTGACAGAGAGCTACAGGTGGATGGGGATTTAGGGACTCCATGGTTTCATTTAATCAGAGTATGTGGACCAAGGCTGGAAAACTCCTTAGAAAGATGTAAGTCTGCAAGGCATTATTTGTGCATGCAAATGCACAAATGTGGGGTGTGTACACATGCGCACCTGTGCACCCCCAGTAAGCGTGGGTCAGCCTGCTTCCTGTGTTGACCAGTTTGCTGTAAGATGATAAACCTTCTGCATTCCCTGCTTTAGGCAGAATTCCCCTGCCTCTTCTGCCTTTGGGTTGGTATCTTCCCAGTGTTTATCTTTCCAGAGCTTGGCTTTGCTGCTGGAATATGATTTCTTGATTGAAATGAGCTTGATAATGTGATAGATTTCACTCTGTGCTTTTTATTCTCTATCTTACTTAGACTATTGTCTCTGGGGCAAATACTGTGTCTTTTTTGTCTTACGAAGTCCTGAGAACACCATCGATGTTGAACAAATAAATAACCAGAGATGTGAAATGGAGTCGAAAATTTATAGCACAGGCTCATCTATCAAAATTTGGACACCAGAGCACAGAGTCAATTATCACGTATTAATTTGCTCTTGTTGGCATTTTAATGCATTGAGAAAAGATTCACTTCCTCTTCACACACACAACCTGCCACCCTGGAGCACCAGCAAAATTGAGAACACTTTAGACAAAACTCAGCTTCCTCTGGGACTCCAAAGACTACAGGACCCAGCACGGTTTCTATCTCTATTTCTCCATAAAAGACAAAGGCACTGCAGAGTCTGTCTCACAAACTTCAGCAAAACAACAGCATTCTAAATACAGTCTCAGATTTGGAGAAGCACTGACACACTGATTGTCTTACACGATTTTTACAACCTCGGAATGCAGGTCAGGCACTGCCCCATTTTAAAGATGAGCACAGTGGGATGCAGAAATGTGAAGGGACTTTTTATCAAAGCAGAAGGAAGGAAGGAAAGGAGGGAAGGGGAAGGCAGAAAGGAAGGAAATGGAAAGAAGGGGAGGGAGAGAGGGAAAGGAAGGTAGAAAGGAAGTAAGAAAAAGGAAAGCATGAAACCATTTTGCTAGCAATTAATTCCTCAGCCACATTTGGTAATAGCAGCAGGGACAAAAATGAATAGTTTTAATACTGGCAGTATAAGGGTGCTGACACAAGCGCCGGTAGCAAGTCAAAGGAATAGTGGCACTGGTAGTTATTAATGCCTTGTCCTTACTTATAAGGGATTTTTCCAGGGTATTCCATGCTCAGGATTCCATTTCTTCCAGGACAGTTACTAGACATCCCACTCTATGGTTAGGCAGCTGAAGAGCGCCTTTCTTCATACTGCACAGCGTCTGGGGGCAACTCTTATCTTCCGACACAGGTGCTCCATCCTGGCTTCCCCAACACCCTAGTGTCACTCTGCTTCCCGGTCCAAGCAGCTCTAGTGGACCCTACTCTGCCCTGCTGAGCCAGCTGTTGCCTTGGGGAGGAAATCTGGAGAGGGGAACCCAGGCTAGATGCACAGGGGAAGTAAGCGTCAGATAGGTATCCAATGGGAGGGAACCCTGCTGCACAGGGCTGGAATCGCTAAGGGCCTGGATGGGCTGATTCTCAAAAAGGGGGCCAAATGGAACAAGTGTCCCTCTGGTTGACACCTTCCCCCTGGCTCTGTAACTCTGCCTCCAAGAATCATATCTTCTTGCACCCGCAGAAAAGTCTCACCTGTGGGTTAAGGATATGAGTTTGATTTTGCTAGTGTCAATCTGGATTTAGACCTCCCAGCCCAGGAAGTACCACCGGGGGCCTGGGTGTGGGCACAGCATTGAAAGATCCTCTGCCCGCACTGAACTCTGCAACCTGCCTCTGGGAAACCCAGGCCACTGCAGTGGGTTCGAGGGCTCCTCTCCCTCGTCTAGATGGAGGATACTGGCTTAGGGTAGCATGCTATGCAACAATGAGGGCAGGGGGCAGAAAGAGGAATCTGCTGTCACCCACTGTACCTCACGCATGGAATTCAGAAAGAAAAGGAGAACATGGGTTTGCTCTGAAGAATCCCAGACATCCCCACCGTTTCTTCAATTAGTGCACATCACTTTAGTGATGAGAAAGATAAAGCGCGCACAGTGAAATGTTCTGCAGATGACTGATACAGTCTCCAAATGGGGCAGTATTAGCTTGTGCAGAAGGGACAAGCCGCAGCTGACACCCTGCACTCTGGGCGCGCCAATCTGTAACTGAAAGAAACACAAACTACACCGCGGCTTCCTGATTGCTGTAGGCTGTCCTCAGTCTTCCTGGGCAAGTGATGGAGATAGTAGTTATGACCAGACCTCAGGGCTAATCTCTTTTTTAGCTCTATGAAGGAGGAAGGGCAGGGGTGGGGGAGTGGAGAAAGAAGTGGAGCTGTCAGTGTGCTTGATGTTAAATAAAACCTACCAAGACTCAGCTGAGAATTTTAGCAGAATCTAAATGTGCTAGAAAAAAAAAAAAAAGGCATGGCTCCCATCTCTAAGGTTCACAGCTAAGCTGGCTTAGAATCACACATGCCAAGGTTAAAAATAAAAAGCAGCCATCCCTGAATGACACAGGCTCTGGGAAGGAAGCCTGAGGTAGCTGTTCGGTGGGGGAGGAGAGGGGAAGGGGGAGGCCCGGTTCGGAGCCTAGGTGTGTATTAGAGGCATATTACCTAAAAGCCAGATGCTCAGAATTTTGCTATTTTGCATTTAAAAGGCACTTCACATTGCCAGAAGCTGTCGTAATGATCTTCAGATTTTCCATCGAGGAAACCCTGGCATGCATTTGAGGCTGGCCGTGGCTGACTGCCCTGGGCTGGGTGCTGCTGCCCTGTCTTGTCCCTCCCCACCCTGGCTCAGACAGCATCCTCACACACCTAGACGGGATGCCTGTGGGCCAGAGCTCAGGAAGCACAGTGGGCCATCAGCAGCGGCACAGAGGCACGCTTGCCACCATGGGCCACCCTATTTCACTCATCAGATGCGATGGCGCTAGGGCCCCCACTGGCCAGCTATCTGCTGCTTGGCTCCTGCAGGCAATGTTTGTCTCCTGAGGACAGTGTGTGGCCTTAACCCTTACCCTTGCCCTTACAGCCACAGCCACTGCAGGCCAGGGCTAGCTGGCGAAGGTGACAAGGTGGCCCTACAGTCTCCCCTTCTTGCAAATCCAGGGTCCCCTGTTATGGGTCCAATAGGGTCTTCTTTCTAATAAAATTGTCTTTTGTCCAATATGCTCATGACCTCTACTGTCTAAGGGCTTACATTTATACAAAAAAAAAATTGGCATCAGCTACTCTAACTACCCTGCCACCCCTGCACATTTCCATCACTATGCGGATGTTTCTAGAAGGTCTTCAAGAGGCCAGGCGAAATGATAAGAATTCTGGGAGCCAGGTGCCATGAGACCCTGGCTTAGCCCATCTGTGGATGTATGCCACACTTCTGCACCACCCAGGGCTTGGGAGGCAGGTGGGTATTCCAGTGGAGCTACCACTTCACAGAAGTGCATCTATGACTAGATACCACCTGCCTGGGCGACTCTCGGCCAGGCAGTGCAATGCAGGAGCAGTCTACGCATGTCTGGCTGCCCCTGTGATCCTGGCCAGCCTTCACCTAAGTGCCCACCTGTATCCCAAATTCCACACCTCGGCTGCTGGTTTGGAAGCACTGCCCAGCGCAGCCCACTGCAAGGTGTCCTGTCCACACCTTCTCAGTGCATTGCGAAAGCCGTGAGAGGCAGCCAAGGCAAGGACTGTTTTCCTGCCCCTTGTGATGGATGAGAGAAGAGGCTGGGAGAGTTAAGGAACTTGCTCAAGCAAGTGACAGAGCGAAGGCTTGAATCTAGGATTCTTTCAGTTACTCCAAGACCTTTAACCAGAAGCACAGCGAGTGGGGGGAGTCGGGCAGGTACCTGAGACCCCCTAAGGGGCCTTTCTCATTCCAGAAACCTCAGGGGGTCTCTCCTTCAGGCTGGACTACGGGGACCTTCCTCAAAAGGAGCCCCACCCCGTGGGGTTTCTCTCCCGACTTCCCCTTAGTCCTTCAGGCTCTCAGGACCACGGAAGATCTATTTAGGGCCAAAATAGGGCTGTGATCAGGAAGCCCTGAGGCTGCCTGGTCCCACCCACCCTGAAACGGCTGGACTGGAGGCAGCCCTCCAACTAAAAATCTCCCTTCCACCCAGCCTCAGGGGACGAGATGGAACGCCCTCTGCAGTCCAGGAAGCCGCGTGCCCTGCTGGATAAACACTGGGAAGTTCTGGGTAAATCTTTCCGGTACCTCCCCTCTCCCCACCCCAGCCCGGAACCCAAGCGCAGGAGAGGCTCCCAGCGCTAGCCAACCCGAGAGCTGTGCTCGCAGCGGAGCTCCCCTCCTTACCTGTACCAGTCCAAGCCGCGGCCGTAGTTCCTGTCGAAGAAGTGGGGTTCCGTGCCCAGGGCCCGCACGTCCGGGTGCACGCGGATAAACTCCAGCACGGCCCGGGTGCCCCCCTTCTTCACGCCCACGATGAGGGCCTGGGGAAGCCGCTTGGTGCCCAGCTTCGGGGAGCCCGAATGGTTGGAGCCCGAGAGGCGAGGGGCGGGCGCGGCGGCGGCGGGCGCGCTGGGCTCGCTGGGCGTCGGCCCGGGGGGATCACAGGGGCGGGACTTCTGGAGAAGTTTCTGGGCGCCCGCCCTGGGGCCGCGGAGGCAGCGCGGCGCCCCGAGGAGGCGGCTCCGGCCGAGGTCGTCGCAGCAGCACAGGAAGCTGTAACACAGGTAAGTGCAGGAGAGCGACAGCGTGAAGGCGAAGAGCAGCCTACGCGCCCTCCGCGGCTGAGCTGGCCCCGCGCGGCCCAGGACCCTATAGGCCATGGCTCCATGGGCCCGCGCCGGGGGTCATGGTTTCCGAGGGGCACCTGCGGCGGGGCGGCTGTGGCCCTGCGGTCGCCTAGAGGGCTCGCGCGGGGATGCCCGGGCCGCGCGGGGCGGGCGCAGGGGGCGCCGTCTTCTCCCGGCGCTGCCGGCCGGGGCGCGCACCGTGCCCGGGGGTCCCGGGGGCGGCAGCTGCTCGGGGGACCGATGGCTGCGTCCCCCTCATCTCCCGGCCCTAGGCGCTGGGGCTCCGGGCGGCGCGGCGGCTCCTGGCGTTCCGCGGCTCCCGCGTGCGCCGGGGTTGGAGCGCGCCCGGAGCCCGAAGCCCCATCCCCGAAGCTCCGAGCGCCGCGCGCGGAAAGATCGGCGGCGGCGGCGGGGCTGCGCGGGCTGCGGGCGGGCCGCGGGCGGGCCGGGCGGTGGCGCTAGCGCCGGCCGCGTCTCGGCTCCTCGGGAAATGCCGAGCCAACGCGCTGCCGGCTCTATTTAAGTAGTCGCCTGACGTCAGCCGCGCGGGTCCCCCGAGCCCGCGCCGCGCCCGGGGACCTGGCCCGCCCCCCGCGCCCCCACTCTCTTACTCTCGGCGGGGACTCGTCACCCTAGGCCCTCCTCCGCGCACACTACTCCCTAGAGAGCCCTGGCCAGCGTGGGGCGGCGAGCGGAGGACGCCAGGCACATCCCCTGCTCCCCCGAGATCGGACATGCCCACCACGCTGGCCTCTCCACATGACGCCCGCGGGGGAAACACAGGTCGGAACTGCGCCAACATCCAACGGAGACGCCGGGCGCAGACGAGAGCACCCGACCCTGCCGCGCTGTCCGCTACCCCGGCCCCGTGCGCACGCACATCCCCGGGACACGCAGGCGAGCCCAGACACACCCCCGTACCTAGCAAGGGTGCGGAGGAGGAGCGTCCTAGTCTGGTACAGAACACCGACAGGGACACACCCCTCGCCCGCTCTCAGCCCCACAGCCCGGCGTCGGAGCGGGCGGAGAGCTCGCAGCCGCCGGCCCTGGGGCGCACGCTGTGAGCGGCTGGGCGGAAGAGCCGAGCGGGAGTGCGACTCCGGGACGAGTCCTGGAGCTCCTCGAGCTCGGCCCCCCGCGCACTGAGTCACACCCAGGCGGCTCGCTCCGTCTCACACCCGTGAAGCACGCACCTCCACCCCACTCCCTCTCCACCTCTTCCTGGGCCTGGCTGGAGAGCGAGCCCCAGAGTCGCCGTTTCCGCGTGGGGCGGGCTCCTCTTAGCTGCCCCGTAGCAGGGGGGGGGGGGGGGGGGGGGGGGGGGCGGGAGTCCGGGGGGGGGGGGGGGGGGGGGGGGGGAACCGCTCCCGGGAGCTGTCCAGGGTACCATAGTGCCCTAAAGGCCTGGGTGCTAACCCTAAAGGCATTGGAGGCATTGGCTCCAATGGAAGGAAACAAAGGACAGGGAAGACTTATTGAAAGCAATTCCAGTTCCAGTAATTCCTAAGTGACTGCTTACGGGGCAGTTGTCAGTGGCCATGCCCAGAACTGTCCCGAAGGGACCACACTAGTACCATATGCAGAACCAGGTTTGAATGGCCATGATCCAAATCACAGCCCAGTCAGTTCTGCACAATGCCAAATCACCATGTCTAGGTGTTTCCAAAGCTAGGACCCCCGTAGCGTGTCTGGATGACCATTCCCTCCGCATCCTCCATTCATGCGGTTCCTGACCTGATCATAAGTCTCTGTGGATCTTAGCTCCAACCAGGAAATATTTTGTCTCCAAACCAGGCCCATAAATAGGAACCTTAGACCACTCCCTCTGCTGTGGATAATAATAGCTATCAACGTTGTGCCAAGCATTTGGCACATGTTAACTCATTTAATGCTTACTATAATCTATGAGAGTGTTGTCATAATACCCACATCACTTTGGTTTCTTAATTCTAATAATAGCTAACCTTTCTCAGGTGCTTGTTTAATGGCAGTAATGTGGTAATCACTCAATAGGCTCTACCTCATTTATCTTTGGAGATAGGTATTATTATAATTCCTAATTTGCAGACAGTAAAAAGGAGGTTTACTGAACACATACTCAGTAATTGGCAGAGCTGATACTATACCCAGGCAGCCTGGCTCCAAGATTCAAGGTCCTAATTACAGTGCGATGAAGCTACCTTACTTCCTTTGACCCTTAATCACGTAATTCTATTCCAGGCTCCACTCCCAGATGTGAGCTAATTTATGGATGTTTCTACTAAAATGTGGCACTTGGACTGAATGAGAATCTCAGCTACAGATTGAAAACTTCAACAGGACCCTCGCCTCACTTCTGTAAGCTCTATTTCTAGTAATGCCACCTAAGATTACGTTATCTTTTTCTGTTAGCCGCATCACACTGCTGACACCTCAAGCTTGCAGCCAAGTAACATCTGTGTTTCTTACAAGAGCTGCTGATTAATGCACGTCTACCCCATACTGTGCTTCTACAGTGGACTTTTTTGGACCCAACATGTAGGTCCTTACACATTTGACCTGATTAAATTTCATCTTGTCTCATCATTTCACTGCTCCAGTTTTTTTTTTTTCAAACTTCTCTCTGAATCTCAAGTCATGATGTAGCTTTCAAATATTCGAAAAGAAAAAGTAGAAATATTGTATCCCAGCTTTACTCTTGATTCCATCCAGGTGCACTTAGGGCAAGTGTGTCACTCTCTCTGAGCCTCAGTTTCTCCAGCTTTAAAATATGATTATGATTAACCTCAAAAGCCTTTTGGGGTTCTGATATTGTGTAGTTTTATGATCCCATTATACACAGCATAAAGCAATCTCCTGGCATCATGTCATCTCCACACTTGATTACAATTTAATTAATTCTTCACTCAAATTGTTAATAAAAATGTCAAAACAAATATGTTGAAAGAAGTTATAATACATACTTTCAGCATTTTTTCACATCACAAACCTGCTATTTCTGCACTCTATTGTTAAATTTACAAGGTTAAATGTAGAGTAATCCATTCTGACAGGTGCTTTTTTTTCTTAGGAAAAAAGACATGCATACAGTTATTTCTCATAATTTTGTGCTTGGCTCAATTTTTATATTATTTTTAATCATCGAATTCACACGCTCTGAAATTCCAGGTACATCAGGGCCAGGCAGAGTTTCTTTATGCAATTTCCAATAGAGTAATGGCCATGACTTGGGTGGAATTTTCCAGGGAGTGAGACAGTGGACATTTCTACTCATCGCCTTCCACTGGTATCATTTTACAGCAGCACCTTGATTCTCCTTTGGAAGTATCATGGTAGAATTATGATGAGTTAGGTGGTAGATCAAGTAACACTCACTTATAAACAGGATATACATTTTTTATCACATCAAAGTCCAGATAAAGAGGGTCAAGGTTGGTACTGAAGCTCCACAATGTAGGGACCCAAACTCCTCCTATCTTGTTGCTTTACCGTGTCTCCTCCATTCTAAAGTCACTGTATTCTAAGATGATTTAGTCTTCTCCAGCTATCATGTTCACAATATGGCCACCAGTAAGGAAGAAAAGGACAGAGAAAGACATGCCATATTCCCTTAGGACATTCCTTGGAAGTTGTCTACATTATTCCTGCCACTATTCAATTGATCAAAATGGTGACACATCTTTCTAGCTTCAAGGTATTCTTCAAAATGTAGTTCTGGCTTTGGATAGCTATGTGCCTGGCTGAAAGGTGGAGGTTTTCTTTTTATCAAGGAAAAAGTGATGGAGGCAACTAGAAATTTCTAGCATCCTTGGAAAAATAGCTTCCCCTCATTTTTCCCCATGTGGTTTGGGTGGTTGGAGCCTAGTTCAAAGGGAAGCATGTGACCATGCCTGATACCATTATTTCCTAATCCTATTTCTGTGATTGAAACCAACTCAGACCTTCCTAGTGAGAATCAATCACAGAACTTCTGGTGAAACTTTTTTTCTTCTTAGATGATGAGCTACTGTGAAATAAGCTTGGGACTTTTAAAGGCCATCTCTGCCATCAAAACTGGAGACCCTGAGAATGACACTACCAAAGAGGGAAATGGGATGGAAAGATGGAGATTTTGATTCTTTGAGCCTCTGAATCTTGCCGTGCTGGAAGCATTATCCCTATACTTCTTTTTCTCTATCTTATTGTTTTCTTTTTTACTTTTTTCTTTCTGGTACTGGGGCTCGAACTCTGGTCCTTGCGCTTGTGAGACAGGCATGGCACCACTGCACTAAATCCCCAGCCGCCCTATTTCTCTCTGTATCTTACTTATTTTTCCTTGAACTCTTAACTGCTATTTTCTTTTATTTATGAATCAGGAAATGTTACTAATTTGTAGGTAACATAAACAGAATTTGATTTTATAAGCAAAAAGAAATTTTGGATAGCTCACACAGGAAAGGAACTTTAAGGTTACTCACAGGATTAAACAGGCTGGACCGATGGACTCCCTGACCATAGCAACCGCTTTCTCTTCTCCTTTCTCTGCTGAGCTTCCATTTCTCTTTTGCCCCCAGCATTATCTTCACTTTTCCTTCCCACTGTAATACCTTGCATTGAAAACCTTGAATTTGAAATTGTAGAACAAGGAAACTTTCTTTCCCTTAAGTCTTTGGACCTAATCAAGCTTTACTATTCAATTTTATTCTGGTATAAGTTTCAAATCTTCTCCCAAGAACAGAGTTTCATAAAGTGTGACAAAGTGTCCCAAAGATGGTGATTCTGAGGCAAAGGGCAGTAAAGTGGAGTCACGTGGCCTGTAGGTTGTGTGAGGTGCAAAGGTCACATGGGAGCCGAGAGAAGGTGCATGAATGTTCTACATTTAAGAAAGAGTTGAAAGGTAAAGACGAGAGACTTTTAGTTGTGTACCATTGGATAAAATCAGAGGGCAAAAGCTCCAGGTGCTTCCAGATGCTGCCCATAAAAAGGAAGCGAATCTAGAAGGCCAGAAACCATGGTTGATTTTAGGGACTTCATAAGATTCTAAACTCTTTGTCATTCCCACGTTGGTTACTTCTGTTATTGGCAGTAACCATAATCATAACAATAGGCATTGTGTATTGCACATTCACTCTGCCCCAGGGACTAGGCTGAGAATTTAGATGCATTACCTAATTTAATCTTCTCAGTAAATCAATGAGGTAGAC